CGTGGTCAGGCAACTGGAGTGTTACAAGTATGTTCTGTACCCAGTTTGTTTGATTTATAAGTTGATTGAAACATATTTTTGGTCATATCTTTGTGGTCAATCTACCTATTCAGAATTCCTGGATGTCTGAAAAAGAAATTTGCAATTTTGCTTAAAGTGACCGGACTACTTACCAGTATGTTATGTGTTATTCGAGTAGCATGTTGAAAGTTTTCTTGTAGTATCAATTATTTCATTACAACTTCTTGTAACTTATTTAAAATTGGCTACAAATCCTGACTAGATTGACATTCGTATTGATAACAAATATTTATAACCAATAACATTTGCTAAATTTATCAAATTATGTAAGCTTAGATTTACACTTTGTATCTATTGAATGACTTTAAAGCAGCACACCTCCAGATTCATGCTTATTTTCATGAAAATTTTGAAAATGTATTGAAAAGTAAAAAATTACAAAGTGAACAAAGGAAATAATTTTCAAATGGCAAACGGCACTTACAAACCATAAAAACTACCAAAAAAGGGTCAAAATATGCAAAATTTTCCTGACTGTGTTGTAACGCAATAGAAAGATAGTAAAAAATACTGCAAAATTGGCCATAAATGGCGCATAACATGAAAATCATTATATTTATCTTGAATTTTTTTACTTTTTTGAAAATCTCAGTAATTTTTGTCAAGTATGATTATCTTTAAATATTTTGGCTCATCTCGAGGCATGCAGCTTTAAGGGCTCAGAGATATGCAGCTAAATGCACCATTTTTGCACCTTCAATGAAATTACTATAATATATGACCATATGAGCCGCGTCACGACAAAACCAACGTAATGCGTTTGCGACCAGCATGGAACCAGACCAGCCTGCGAAACCGCGCATTCTGCTATTCGCTTACCAACCCTATTACAAGCAAGTAGAAAAATTGATAGCGAACGGCATGGATCCATGCTGGTCGCAAACGCACTATGTTGGTTTTGTCATGACGCGGCTCAATTATGTATTACAGATACCAAGTTTTAGCTGTGGCTACGGAGGCAAAATCTAGAGAAGAGTCTCAAAATATTAAAAGTGGCAAGAGAGTTACGGTAACAACAACCATTTATTTATTACTTTTGATTCATGTGACCAACCCTTAAATGCGTGTATTTTCCCTGTATAATTTTTATTTTAATACTGCACATTTGTAACGTCGCTTTTCATTGGATAATCGTGACGTCAATATAGTTTTATATACACTGCTGCCGTCATTTTATGAAGAAATCTCACTTTTTCACTAAAAATGATGCTTGCTGTATTATAAATTTGTTATCAATATTTCTTCCTTACTACATGTAATATTATATGATCTATAAATAGCTTTAAAATGACTTTCTCCAATTGGTTAAGATGTAATTTTCCGTAAAAAGAAACTAGTGAATATCAAAGTATATGATCTCGGTCAATATTAAATTTTTTCAGTACATATCACATCATATTCACCAGCTAAAAAGGCCATATTTTTATAATAATGTATTCCCATGCTGTTTTTGTGACTTTGTTAATATGTTATTGCAAGACTGTGTATCTATTTTGATGTGATGTCATTTTGCAATATTCAAACCTAGCATAAACACACACAATGTTAGCGTTACACTATAAGCTTGTTAATATAAAAGTGATTCTTTTGTTATATTAACTGTTTTTATTTTGAATATGTAATATAAAGTGAATATCATTTTTGAAAACCTTTGCTGTATAATACTGTTTTATCATTTATGCACAAGTAAAATGATACTTAACGTCATGATATTTGTTGGGGTGTTTTTTTTCATATTTGAGTCATTCCTATTATTTACCCACATTATAATTGCTATTTCTTCATTTATTATAGTTTGATTGGAGTTTTAACATTGGAGAACAGGCCCTGGATGTTTCTGTGATATCATTTCCCACCGCTCCACCCTCTATACTAGTCTTAGGTAAGTTCAAACTAAATATTGTTGAAATGTTTTTTTTTGAGTATTTCTTCCCTTTATAGAGCTATTCCAATGCATGTATGTGCAAGGTTCTTTTGCATGTCCATAGTAGTTCCATAGCAATTATGTATTCACAGTTTGATTGCAGTTCAGAGCATGGGGAAAAAGGAAGAACACACAGTTTTCAGTACAAGGCTATAGATTATGAATTTAGGATATCTTGGACAAGTTATATTACCCTTATAACCTATGTTAGGAACAAATGTATAATACTTTAAAGAAGCAATTCAAAGAAAGATTCATAATTTATGAATAAAAAAAACTTGCAAAAGTGACTTAAGTCATATATATATATATATAGGTAATTTAAACATTGTATAGAATATAATTTCAAAAACAGGGTCAGTTTTACAATATATTGTCATTTAAGTGCAGTAAAGGGTTAACTTCTATAAAATTTTAGTAGTAGGTAAGCTGTTAGAGCAATAACATGATGATTTATATTTTATGTTAGTTAAAGATATGGAATCTAATAATTATGTAATTTTTTGCAGGAGAAAGAAATTTATTCTGTCTAACAGAGTCTGGACAGTTGAGATACATGAAGAAATTTGAATACGATGTTAGTTGTTTTAATCCATATGCCTCTAGTAAGTATAAGTTGTTTTAAATAGATATTTTCATATAGATTTTGTGGTGGTTGTGTTGATTGTTTTTTACTCCGGATCACGGCAGTAAGCCATCCTGAGCACAGTTCAGGAACTTCTTTATATGCCAAAGTAAAGGTACACTAGTGCAAATGACTGTAGCAAAGATTTCATGATCATTCACAATTATAAGAATCTTACACTGGCTACCAGTTTTGACAGTAATATCTAGCTGGAGGGTAACTTTTTATGGCGGTAATGAGGCTGTGCCGAGTTTCTGCTGACCAGTTACCGTAGAGCTAGATATTCCCGTCTGTACCGAAAGCCTGTGTTTGATTCTTTTTCTTGCATATTACATATCAATTATTTTCAGAATAGAAATTACGGAAACTAATATTCTCATTATGCACTATTTTTCTTAGTAGTGCATGAACTTACAACATCATTCATAACGGTAAACTGACGTCATCCTAAGAACACAATTCATTCATAAAAGGCACATGGTAATGATGTCATTCAAAGCACGCGAATTGTCTTACATGGGGGGTGTAAGACAGGTTTTTCTGGCACCATTGTAAATGGTAGATAATCTTGTCTGATATGCAAGAAAAAAGTTACCTGCACCATCCAGGAATCAAACACGGGTTCACAGTCCAACGCTATACCTATTGAGCTAACTGTACTGCTCTGCATACATTCAAATGGTAACCATGACTTATATATAGCTCCAGTTTGACCCTACCCAATGCTGTCTGTTGCTCAGATGTTTTGTATTTTTAAAAATAAGACAGTTATCTATATGGACTGTTATTTATATACGGTTATCTATGGATTTCATAGCTGGACAAGTTTATTCAACAAAATCTATATTTTGTGTTATTGTTAAATTTGATATGTTATTTTATAAAAATACATTTTTAAAAATGCTGATTTTGTCTTTATATCTATGCCTTCATTATAGTGTATTTGAGAAATAGTTATGGGTTTAAACGGTATATGAAATGAGACTTTCTTTATTTATGTTTCAGTTACGGAGGGAACTATAAATTATTTAATAGCGTCGCACACACAGACGTTAATGGTATATCAAGACATATGTCTCAAGTGGGCGGCTAAAGTTGACAGCGTGCCCGTCATGGTTAGAGTTGGAAACTTTCAGTTAGTATTTCTTTTCTTTCTATGTCAATTTCATGAAGGATAGCTCTCCACAGTCATAAATTACATTTCAGTTTCATAGAAAGTCCTAAGTGTATTATAAGTCCTAGGACATTAAACCATATATAGTACTTAAGACCTTTTCGATAAATGGTTTTACCTTCAGTCATAGACTGTAGACTATAATTAAATTCATTTTTCTAAGAAAAGTTTAAAAAAAAATATAATGAAACACCCTTTTATTCACCATTCTGTATAGCTATTCTGAAATTGAAAGATTCACGAGGTAGGAGTCATAACTTAGGAATTTACTTTGAAATACAAAATTTTCTTAGTTTTGGTCTTAAGACTTATGACTTTGTATGAAATGCATCCCAGGTTTCAAGGTCATAAATGAATTCTCAGCTGTGTCTGTCCGCAGTACTTTAAATAAGTAGGAGGCCATTTTACTGTAAACAGAACAAAGGAGAGCAAGAGAGTTCATTTTGTAAAAAAAAGGATTAACAATTTCACAGGCATGATTCTGTCCTAGGAATCAAACTTATGAACCAAGACAAATTCATTATGATGATTTCAACATTTATATTGATAATAGATAAGATATCAGACAAATTTTTACTGGTAGGGAACACATGCTGTTTTTCCTGCTATTGTCCATATTATCAGCTGGATAAAGCCTTGCCTGATAAACTTATATATCTCCAGTCAGTATATAAGTTTATCTCCAGTCAGTATATCTCATTGTTAGCCTATGATGACGTCACATGGTTAACAGCAAAACAAAACTACATATGAGCCACGTCACGACAAAACCAACATAGTGTGTTTGCGACCAGCATGGATCCAGACCAGCCTGCACATCCGCGCAGTCTGATCAGGATCCACGCTGTTTGCTTACCAACTCTATTACAAGTAGAGAAACTTATAGCGAACAGCATGAATCCTGATCAGACTGTGCGAATGCTCAGGCTGGTCTGGATCCTTGCTGGTCGCAAAGCCACTATGTTGGTTTTGTCATGAAGCGGCTCATATAGATGTTGTTTTATTGGGGAAAAGTAAGAATGAAACCATATAAATGATCTAAAAACATTATTAAACTAGACAAAAGCAGGATAAATCAAATACATGGTTGGGGGTCGGGATGGAGAAGGTTTATCTGGTTCACTGCGGAAGTGTATCTTGTCTTGCTAAAGCTCGCCAAGATATACTATATCGCTCACCGGATAAATCTTCTCCATTCTGACATGAACCATGTATTCCTTATATTGTTTTTGACAAGCTCTTGTTGTTTTTCCATAGAGGTATTATGTCTTTGAGTCTTCCTTTACCAGTTCAAAAGCAAATTGGTATATTCCATTCAACTAAGTTTCATAACAAATCAAATACTAAAATAAACAATTTGAATGGTTTAAAATCATTTACAAATAATGTGGCATTATTTACGCACAGGGATCTGAAAGGAATTGTGGTGACATTAAGTGACTCAGGAAGGCTAGAATGCTCATATATGGGCACGGATCCAGCCCTGTTTATACCACCTCCCGTGGAAGCCAGGGAGTTGAACTATGCTGATATGGACAAAGAGATGGCGCAGTTACAGAAAATAATAAAAGAGAAACAGGCAAATGCAGGTACGTACAGTCGTAGGATAGAGTGTTTTTTTTTGTCAGTTTTCAAAACAACCTGTGGCTTTCTGAAGGGGAAAATGTAGCATGATAAATCAGTAAAAGAGGAAAATCAAATTCCAACAACAGAGAATTTCAATTCAATTTAACATGCATAGTACATAGCAGAGGCTATCTATAGGGATAGCTTTCTGTCTTCTAGCTGATTTAAGTCAGCTGCTGTTAAGACATGGTTCTGGTGAAGAATGTGCACAGGGCATTTTGGGGAAATATTAGCATTTTCAGGGGAAAATATACCTATTTTGGGCTAGGGGAAACCGCCTTTATTTGGCTGCAAAATACAGGGGAAAAAAAATCACTGGCATTTATGATTATCATTAAGCCCCTTGTCAGGTATATACCAGAATATGAAGATTATATTGCTGCCATTAACTTGCCTTAGAGGTTGTAAAAAAAGGTTGTACATTTTGTTGTGTATCATAAACAGACTCATGGGATTTCACTTTTTAAATTGTGATCTCAAGTTATTTTTGCAAAACTAAACGTCACCTAAGTGTAATTATGGGTTAACTCCTTATATGATTTAACCCATTACTGCACTAAGGTGAAGAAAAATAAACCAATGAAATACGGTCTTCCGTTTGGACACGTTTGGACAATCGTGACATTTTATTTATTCTGTATCCGCGATGCACGATGGTACGATGGTAAAAATGCGATGGTACGATGGTGAAAACACGTTGGTACGATGGTGAAATCCCGATGGTACGATGATGAAATCACGATGGCGCGATAGTACGATGGTGAAAACGCGTTTTCACCATCGTACCATCATGATTTCACCATCGCGTTTTCAACATCGTACCATCGCGCCATCGTGTTTTCACCATCGTGCCATTGCGTTTTCACCATCGTACCATTGCACTTTCACCATCGTACCATCGCAATTTCACCATCGTACCATCGTGTTTTCACCATCGTGCCATCGCGTTTTCACCATCATACCATCGTGCATCGCGGGTACAGAATACAGAAAACGCGATGGTACGCTGGTGAAAACACGATGGTATGATGGTGAAATCGCAATGGTACGATGGTGAAATCGCGATGGTACGATGGTGAAATCGTGTTGGTACGATGGTGAAATCGCGATGGCACGATTGTGGAAACACGATAGCGCGATGGTACGATGGTGAAAACATGATGGTACGATGGTGAAATCCCGATGGTACGATTTCACCATCGTACCATTGTGATTTCACCATCGTGTTTTCACCATCGTACCATTGTGCCATCGCGTTTTTATCATCGTACCATCGTGCATCGCGGGTACAGAATAAATAAAATGTCACGATTGTCCAAACGTGTCCAAACGGAACACAGTAATGAAATGATCACCCACCATTGTTTTTCTGACTTATTTTTGTTTAGCAAAATTGGTAATTTTTGATGTAATAGCATGTCAGCACTTGTACGGAATCAAGGATGCCTTATAAGATAAAAATCAGAACAATTTGTTTAACCTACCTCTAACCTAAACAAAACATAACTGGTCTATAAGTAGGCAAGTTGTTAACTGCTTGTGGGGAATAGGTTCTTGCACAAAGCTATTAACTGTAACATATGTCAGTGATTTTGTATCTTTGGAGATAGTCTGTATAAATTGATTATCTTATTTCAGCAATTATGCCTAATCTGTCTGGAAAAGAAGAAGATTTGACGATTAATGTCCATGTATCACCCAGTTTAGATGATGTATCTGTAAGTTTGTTTTGATTTCTCTTCTTTACTGTATATCATTCCCATATTTTTTAAAAGGATAGAAGTTTTGATGGCCCTCAGTGCATTTTTTTCCACCTAAGTAGAGTAATAATAAGACCTACCATGACTTAATTGAAAAGAAAATTTAACCCATTTAGGCCTCAAAAAGGGGAGGGGGTTGAAAAGCCATC